CAGGCAGTCCCATTCATGTCAATTGGGACACGGTGGTTGCACGGACACGGCTGCTGCTCCCCAATTTTGACAGCTGTGTGGGTATTGGCTCAAAATGCACACGGTCTGCATTAAGGGACCTGCACAGCTGTTAAACTGGGAGCAGCGGTTGTCTGTGGAGCCACTGACCATTGACATAAATGGGGATGCAGAACATATGACGAGACCATACAGGAGAAACCTTACCTAGTATGAAGGAGCACTTGACACACCTGGCAGTGTGGTGCCGAGATCTCTGGAAGGAATGAGCGATTGACTAAGCATTAACAGGCGCATTCATTGCCCAGAACAATCATTTATTTGTGTGACTATTATTTGTAGCTCTCAATAAAAGTGCTTGTGGAAAATAACATTTGTTATGACAAACAATCATTGCGTCTTAGTAAATTTAGACTTCAATAAGACGTCTAGTGGTAAGAGTACCATAAATCTCAGATTGTTCATTCGAATCCTTGTGTGAGTGATCAGATTTAGCTTGTGAATACTATTCCGAACATCAGATTTATTAGGCCTATATAATGCTTTGAATGGCTTTCTTGTAGCCATTGAAAGAAAGATGTAAATACAGGCATAGGATCTAGCTGGTTCTTCTCTTCCTGGAACCATTTTGTTCCAGGGAGAGAAGAGACATCACACGTGAGTAAAAGCAGCACACTGCACCCACACACATTGGATAGATATTTTAACCCCTTGATTGCCACATTTAACCCTTTGCCCCCTGCCATTGCCATTAGTACAGTATTTTCACTGATCACTGTATTGGTGCCACTAGCGAAGTCAGATAGTGTCCGGGTCAGTTGGCGTCCCTCCCAGCTAGGGTCAGCCCCCACACTATCGCACTCATGCTATAGGTCACTGATCACAGTCATTACTAGTATAGTGTTTGTATGGATCAATATATTGATCACGAACAAAACTATACCTGTTCCCCTTTAGTATTCGTGTCCCCAAAAATTTAGTGTTAGCAGGATCATCCCCGTTCGCTGCCAGCACTAGCGTTTAGCCCCAATGCAACACCCCCACAGTGTTTGCAGAATCGGGCCTGATGTCTGCCAGCGCTAGCAGGTGAATTTTTATTAGGTACCTGTAAATCTCTCTCAGAATATGCATAAGCAGGCGTGTGCAGTGCTGTTGGATGGGCAGAGATCTCTTCATCCACATTGACTGATGTGAATAGAGTAATCCTGTTCAGTTCCCCTTTTTTTTTTTTTTTTTTTTTTTTTTTTTTTTTTTTTTTCCCCTCAGCCAGCGATTGGCTTTCATATAAAAGCAATCTCAGTGGCTAATTGGCTGCAGGATTACTTTTACAAGCACTGCCTTCCACGGCCTTCGGTGGAACCTGAGAATGCAGCCGGCGTTTCTGCCAGCTGACCATAGGGATGATTGGAGACCGGAATAGTGTCAATCGTCTCTATAGTCTAAGAAATCGGAAGCTGTGAGCATTTCATCACTTCAGTTTTGCAGGATATAAGCAATGCCATTTGTAAATTGGGAAAGCATCTGATCACACTGATCTTGATGAGATAATGTAAGGTCAGAGGAGATATCTAGAGTCTGATAGACCCCTGATTTTTTTCAAAAAAGAATATGACAATGCCCATTGAAGTTATAGGGGATATTTGCATTCCCTGTGATAGCATTAAGTGATAAAAAAAAAAAAAAAACACCCACGTGTGCTTGTGCAGCGTTGTGCCAGTGCATTGTGCATTCCCTATGGATATTAAAAATGTATGCAGTTTGTTGCCATCGCATGGGGCATGTGCAGTTTTTTAAAGCATGTCATGTTTGGTATCCATTTACTCGGCATACCATCCTCTCTTTATATTTTACCAAATAATTGGCCAATATATTGTTTTTATGTATCAAAAGTAATATTTATATTTAAAATAAAAAAAATAAATAAATTGCAGCACCACCATTTTATTCACTAGGGTGTCTGATTTAAAAAAAAATATAATGTTTGGGTTCAAAGTAATTTCCTAGCAAAAAGGTAATTGCCAGCCGGGACCCGGTGATTAACGGATGCAAATGGCAGCGTGGGTAAGGTGTGCGCACGCCTCCTACCCAAAAATGCAAAATCATGTGTGTAATATATATACACATGATTTTGCGCACCTGTGCCGCTCTGTAGCAGTGTTTCTGCTATAGGGCGGTCGGGAAGCGGTTAATCACCACCCTCTGGACATGCTCCTGCAACCAGTTTCTTATGCAGGTTATCTGTCATAAATGCCAAAAGACCTTAACTATTTAAGCTCTTGAAGGATTTACCCCCTTCCTAACCAGGCCATTTTTTTTTGCTATATCGCACTGTGCTATTTTAACTGGTAACTGCTCGGTCATGCACCATTGTGTCCATTTACAGTGCCTTAAAGTATTCATACCCCTTGACAATTTCCACATTTTATCATGTTACAACCAAAAAAGTAAATGTATTTTATGTGATAGGCCAAAACAAAGTGACACATAATTTAAATGGAAGGAAAATAATGACTGGTTTTTAATTTTTTACAAATATCTGAAAAGATTGGTGTGAATTTTGTATTCGGCCTCCCTGAGTCAATACTTTTTGTAGAACCACCTTCCATTGCAATTACAGCTGCAAGCTGGCTGTATCGGGCAGTGATTTCTTGCTCTGAAACCGTAAGTGCCTAATCCTCACTTCTGGTTGTATTCCGGGCAGAGAAGATTGAGGAATGAGGATGTTCCTCTGTCTCCTCCCGTACACTGGATCATTTTTCACTTTCCAGCCAGATGAGAAAAAGGAGCACAAGCTGATGACTGCTACAGCCATCAGCTTCTGTCTAACCCGTCACTCTTTAGATGTAGAACTGAACTGGGATATGTGTCCTTCAGATCCAGTCTGCTCATATCAATAATGCATACTGGATATCACAAAGCAGGTATCCTAGCCTGCTATAAAAAAAGAAACTGGACGCTCGGCAGAACAATATTTCAAATACATTCTTCTTAAAGTGTAGAGAAAATAAATATACATAGACCTATAAAAACCGCACAGGGGAACACCTGCAAGGGGAAATTTCAAACATGTGTAACCCTACATAGAATATATAATTAATACATTTTCCATCACCCAACAAATCGTTCAGTAAAAAAGGAAAAAAAAAAAAAAGGTATCAAATACATCCAGAACTATTGATTTAGGTGAGCACAAGTGACTGTTGTCCTCCAGTCTGGAGGAAAGAAACTAACTGGAGGAAAGTTCAAGACTAATCTCAGAAAGTATTATCTTACTGAGAGTAGTTGATGCTTGGAATACACTTACAGCAGAGGTAGTGAGCCAGCCAACAGTAAATGGCTTCAAATGTGCTTGGGTCAAGCATAGATCTATACACAGGCAAACAAGTAAACAAAACAAGAAAATGGGCAGAATCGATGGACCACTCAGTCTTTTTTCGGCCATCACTTTTCTGTTTCTATTCTAAACTGGGTCAGAGATCAAAGCTAACATAGAATCGCTTGTGTCTGAGTGGGCCCCACACCTTATGAAACTTTGTAGGACATCTCCTTGCCTCATAACGTTCATTTATAGAGGGACAGTGCTTGGTTTTTAAGCTTTTTCCCTAACCCAAGGTGTAGGACCTCTGTTTGGGTCCAGTGCAGAGCAATCGTTTTCCTTGCATAGTAAAACAACAAGCAAAGGAAATGTCTGATCTCTGCACAGACCTCCTATTCCTTAAGTATACCTAGAAGGCACCGTTTGGGACAACATGCATGGGGTAAATCAAATGTTTCTGCAATAAATGCTGTAATTTGTGACCAGAAGGGGCAGACCCTATAGGCAGAACCTATAACCGCTCCAAAAATATGCAAGAAATCTCCCATCTCTCATTCACATTTATGATAAGTTGAAGTAGATTTCCTATGCATGTGAAGTAAACGTGTTGGTGTGTAATAAACTCCGTACAAATAAAGTAGCTGGATAAGCCTGTCTTTGGCCGGGATAACTATGCTGGCATGTGAATTAAATAAATCCTGCCAGTTTTCAGCTATAAGGATTGGAATAGCCCGCAACCACCTATTTTGCATATTAAGTGATGACCTTGGCTGAAGATCCATAAGTAAGGCCTAATAAGAGGGAGATGAGACCTGTATGATTAGATTGGAGAAGGGTGCGTTTGAGCCCAGTATTACTAAGGGAAACATTACGTAGGCCAAATTGGGCTCCCGCTGCATGACGGAGCTGTGCCTAATAGAATGACCACTGTAACGGAATATGCAGCTCACGTCAAAGTTGCTCAAAAGACCTGATTGTACCAGCCTCATATAATTGGTATAAATATTGTAGTTCTCGTCTTGCCCACTGCAGACCACAGGGAAGTGAGAGAAAATGAGGCAATCTGGGATTATGCCAGAGGGGTTGATTGTGAGAGTGACTGTCTTCCTCCGAATCTTTACCCATTGTTCAAATATATTGAAGGGACATATTGATAATGGCAGTAACCTTGGTTACTAGTAAAGTGCGTCTATACAAAAGCTTGGGTTAGGTTTCATACGAGGAGACTATAGCAGCCTCTGTAGCAATAGCATTGTTAAGTTTGGAAATGGCCACCAGTGTACGTAAATTTTGGGCTGCAAAATAATTCCAGATTCAGTCTTGGTGGCCAACTTATCTGTCTGTCTTCATGTACAGCCCTTGACATGTCCCGAGGGCTGCCCAAGATGCCAGTTTTTCCAAGTATGCTATTATTTTTTATTGGAATAGAATTCTAGGCATTTGTTGTCCACACTACCCTATTGAAGAGTTGAGTTGCCTGCGAATGGTTCCAAGTCAGCAGGTGACCATACCATCTGGACAGACTGAATCTAAGTAGGTATGTCACTGTGTAATGGGGCATTTGAAATAGAAAAACATCCATAGATAATTGGCCTTCATATTTAAACTTACTGTCACAGAATATAGATCCAGTTCAAAATAATCCTCCTCTTCCTCCCCCACTCAGGTCGTCAGAGTACACTTCAATACCTAGCTACATGTGATGACATCCCTGAACTGAATATTCTTCTTGTGGGATGTGGTGATGGAAGACATCTTCTCAAAACAGTCTGTCAGGCTCGCAGGTGGCCACATCGGAAACTTCATGTGAGTTAAATATTCTGTACAATCCAATGGCTTAGGAGTTAAAGGTCAAGTAAAGTAATTTTAAGCTTGAAATTGCTAAGTGTGTGTACACTGTTCCTTCTACAATGCAACAGCCAACAACCACAAAAAATATATGCTCACTAAACTGTCCCTGCACGTGTCATAATGTTTGTACAATTTCTTATTTTGAATTTCATGTAAAAAATCAACTCGTTTTGGCTCTCCACATGTAGCAATACAAACGTAAATGTCAACTTGAAATAGTAATGCCTGGATAGTTTTGGAGATTTTTCCATGTAATCCCACAAATTGGCAAACTGAACGATTGCTCCTTCCACCAATTTGGGACAGAGTGCACAGAGATGGTTGCAAGCTTTTTGACCCTCAACTACTGGGTTTATTCCTGTCCCTTTCAAGTTGGAAAGAGCGTATTCCTCACCAGCTTGTTCGTGGGTTTTTTTTGTTGCCTAGGGCAGCACGATACCTAAATACACTACTGTAGATGGCGGCAGATTTTTATCATGAGTATATTGGTACAGTTTTTCCATTCATTCTTCCTTCAATGAACTGAAGTTAGCCAGTACCGTATGCGGAGAACTGCCATTTGACCTCCCAAACATGGTGTGTATTATGGCATCCAAAGAGTTCAATTTCGGTCTTATCCTGACCTGACTATATTCTCCCAGTATTTCAAAGGCTTGTCTAAATGGTGTGCTGCAAACTTTAAATTAGTGGTGCACCGAAATGAAAATTCTGGTAACGAAAAATTCAAAATGCACTTGGCCGAAAACCTAAATGTTTAAAAAATGAATAATATATTTTTTGGAAAAAAATACGCTGTGATTGAAAACAAAGTATATAATAAATTTTTTTTTTGTACAATATGAAAGAGGATGTTACGGTGAGTAAATAGATACCCAACATGGCACGCTTTAAAATTGCCTGTGGAATGGTGTGACACTTTGGTACTTAAATATCTCTATGAGTGATGCTTTAAAATTTTCTACAGGTTAGCAGTGTAAAGTTAGAGGAGGTCTAGTGCGAGAATTTATTGCTCTTGCTCCAACGTTCGTGGCAATACCTCACATGTTGTGGTTTGAACAGCAATTACATATGTGGGCATGGCCTACGTATGCATTCACCACTGTGCAAGCACGGGTGGGGGGGGCGGTTGTGCTGTAAACTTAAATTTTTTTTTTTTTTTTTTTTTTTTTTTTTTTTTTTTTTTAAAAGAGGAACCATGCAAAAAAGTAAATCGCTTTTATTCTTATCACAAGAAATGCATGCATCCCTTGTAATAGACATAATTAGTGACCGGTCCTTTTCATGGAGAGATGTGGTGGCCATCTGTCTTTCACTCATCTCTATGCCCAGCATCAGGATCCATGGGTTTCCAGGTAAGCCTGAACTACTGAGCAGCAAGGGGCAGAGTTTTTTTTTTTTTTCGGCACCTGTATCGGTGATTTTTTTTCATTATTATTATTATTATTATACAGTATTTATAAAGCGCCAATAGTTCACTCAGCGCTGTACATTACAAAGGGGGACAGAACATGTGACAGAACAATACCAATACAATGCAAAACATGAGGGGATCGAGGGCCCCTGCTCTTTCGAGCTTACAATCTAGAAGGGGTGGGATAGTGGTACAGGAGGAGATAGCTGTGGGGGATGGAGTGGTAGGAAGAGTGGAGGAGGTCAGCAAGTTAGCAAGGGGTGAGGTAGGCTTCCCTGAAGAGATGGGTTTTTCAGGGTGCGCCTAAAGGAGAGGAGAGTAGGTGATAATCTGATGGGTTGGGGCAGGGAGTTCCAGAGGATGGGTGACACCCTGGAGAAGTCCTGGAGGCGGGCATGGGAGGAGGAGACCAGGGAACTAGAGAGAAGGAGGTCTTGTGAGGAGCGGAGTGTGCGTGCTGGGCGGTACTTGGATATTAGGTCAGTGATGTAGTTCGGGGCAGTATGGGTGGACAGCTTTGTACGTCAGTGTTAGGATTTTAAATTTGATCCGTTGCGCAATCGGAAGCCAGTGGAGGGATTGGCAGAGGGGGGTGGCGGAAATGGAGCGGTTGGAAAGGTGAATGAGTCTGGCAGCCGTATTCAGGATCAACTGAAGCGGGGATAGCCAGCGGCGAGGCAGGCCAGTGAGGAGGGAGTTGCAGTAGTCGAGTCGTGATATGATGAGGGAGTGGATGAGCTGTTTTAGTGGTTTCTGGGGTTAGGAACGTGCGGATTTTGGCGATGTTGCGGAGGTGGAGTCTGCACGAGTTTGTTAAAGATTGGACTTGGGGCTGGAAGGATAGGTTGGAGTCCAGAATGACACCAAGTACTCTGGCCTGCAGAGCGGGTTTGATATTGACGTTGTTGGATGTGATGTAGAAGTCAATGGGGGGTGGGGTTCGGGCTGGGGGGAAGACAAGGAGCTCGGTTTTGGAGAGATTCAGTTTAAGGAAGTGGAGCGACATCCAATCTGATATGTCGCTCAGTAGGTGTGTGATTTGGGCAGAGACCGAAGGGGTGAGGTGGGGGGTTGAGAGATAGATTTGTGTGTCGTCGGCATAGAGGTGGTAGTTGAAGCCGTGAGAGTGTATGAGTTGGCCAAGGGAGGAGGTGTAGATGGAGAAGAGAAGGGGCCCAAGGACAGAGCCTTGAGGGACCCCAACAGAGAGGGGGAGTGAGGGGGAGGTGGTAGCATTATAGGTAACGCTGAAAGAGCGTTGTGACAGGTAGGATGAGAGCCAGGAGAGAGCAGAATCTCTGAGGCCGAGGGAGTGTAGTATTTTGAGGAGGAGGGGGTGGTCAACTGTGTCGAAGGCCGCAGAGAGGTCAAGGAGTAGGAGCACTGAATAGTGGCCATTAGCTTTGGCGGTTAGAAGGTCGTTGGAGAGCTTGAGTAAGGCGGTTTTCGGTGGAGTGTAGGGGGCGGAAGCCAGACTGTAGGGGATCGAGGAGGTTGTTGTCGTTGAGGTGAGAGCATAGGCGGGTGTAGACGAGACGCTCGAGGAGTTTAGATGTAAGTGGGAGCAGGGAGATGGGTCTGAGGTTGTTCGGGTCATTGGGGTCCAGGGAGGGCTTTTTAAGTATGGGGGTGATGTGTGCATGCTTCAGTGGGGAGGGGAAAGTGCCGGAGGAGAGGGAGAGATTAAAGATGTGGGTGAGGGAGCGTAGGATGGAGGGGGAGGGAGGTCGTAGGAATTGTGAGGGGATAGGGTCGAGGGGGCAGGTGGTGAGGCGGGCATCAGAGAGGATCTTGGAGACTTCCTCAATGGTAGTAAGGTCAAAGGTGTGGAGTGTTGGGGGAGCTTCAGTATGAGGAATGTAGGGTGGGGTGGGAGTGGAGGTCAGAGCAGTGGTGGGGCCGTGGGAGAGGGGTGATGAGGGGGTAGCCGAGTGAGGGGGAATGGGGTCGGAGGGAGTTTGAGCAGTGACGAAGTCCCTGCGGGTAATGTCCAGGGGGGGGGGGATGAGGGGGTAGCTGTGTGAGAGGGGACGGGTTGAGAGGGCGTGTGAGTTGCGGCAATGTCCTTGCGAATTGTGTCAATCTTGTTTTTGAAGTGATTGGCAATCTCAAGGGCGGTGAGTGAGGTGCTGGGTGGAGGTGGGGGTGGAGAGAGTAGAGAGTTGAAGGTGGAGAAGAGTCGGCGAGGATTGGAGGAGAGGGCCTTGATGAGGGTCAGGAAGTAGGCTTGTTTGGCTGCGTGGATTACAGCCGAAAGAGGTGTTTTCGGCCACTGAAATTTTAGTGTATCCCTACTTTTAAATGAGCTTCAACATGCTTTTCTTCAGCACTGAAGTCTTGTGTGGTGAACGTGCATACAGGTCATTGCAGTTGAGTGCATTACTTATTGTTTTCTTTGAAACCATTTTGTTTCTGCTAATTCCAGGTCTTTCTGAAGCTCTCCACAAGTGGTCCTTGACTCTTGCGATAATTCTTTTCACTCCTCTGTCAGAAATCTAGTGAGGAGCACCTGGTCAAGGCTGGTTTATGGTGAAATTATCTTTCCACTTCTGGATTATGGCCTCAACAGTGCTGACTGGAAAATTCAGAACTTTAGAAATCCTTCTGTAACCAATGCCATTAGTATGTTTTGCAACACTAAGGTTGGGTAAAAGCAGAGAGCTCTCTCAAGACCTTCCCATCATGAGATGTATGTTGTGTGATACCTTGTTAATGAGACACCTTTTTTTATAGACCATCAGTTGAGACTGAACCAGCTGGTATTAATTGGCACTGACGAGGCAGCATTGCTTTCTAATTGCTGATAGATTTCAGCTAGTGTCCTGGCTTTCCATGCCTTTTTGCACCTCCCTTTCTTGATGTGTTTAAATACATTTTTTTTTTTTTTTTTTTTTTTTTTTTGGGCCTTGCTAAACAAAAAATCCCCAATATGTGTAAATTAATTTGGTTTCCGTGAAAGTTAGTGTTTACAAATGGTGGTATAGATAATGGGATTTTTTTTTTTTTTTTTTTCTACTTGTAATGGTGGCGATCAACGACTCTTACTCTACTCTAACTCTATTAACTACTCTAACAGCGACTGCGGTTGATGTTCTGACACTGGGGGGGTACTAACTTGGTGTCACTGACAGGAAGGGGTTAATGTGAGGGGCGATCAAAGGGTTAACTGCATGCTGGGAGTGTTTTTACTAGGGGGTGGGTTCTTCACTGTAAGCACACTGATCGGGATTGATGTACTGTGCACCGTCATCCTGAGTAGTGTGCTCAAGCTGACAGGGAGGAAGGTTGTTTGTAAACAAAACTATCTTCCTCCCCGTCGGAGATGCTCGGTAATCACTGGGCATCGGTGGGTAATTACCAGCTGGGACCCGGTGATTGACATCCGCGGCCGTGAATGGCAGCGCGGGTAGAGCGCACTCCTCCTCCTACCCGGAAATGCAGAATGACGTGCGTGATATAAAAAAAAAAAAATAAAAAATATATATATATATATATATATATATATATATATATATATATATATATATTTATTATTATTATTATT